GAAAAAAGAAACACATGTCTTTTGCAGCAACATCATTAGTGAAATAAGCCAGAAAGAAAACGAAAAATATCAGATGGCTTCTCTCATAGCAGGAATATAATGGAACAGATGAGAAAATAATGATAATGATGAATAGCTATATACCAGAGACATTTTGTGGGGGTAGAGTGGGGAATGGGATCAAAAACAGTGGGGGGAGGGAAATGCACTGGACTATGGTGATGCACATGGGTGATTTGGTGATGGGAAACCCAAGAGGATTGCAACTGAGATGGAAAAATGCACAAAAATATGTAAAAATAAACTAGTATATATATATATAAAAAAACCAAGCCAGAGTGGCAAAACAAAACAAAAAAAATGGTAATAGGTCTGGTTCTTCTCAAGGGGAGTTGAAATTGCATTTTGGCTTGGTAGTGAAATTGGAGCTGAATTACCACTAATTTAGGAATTAATAAATGAATCAATACTCAAAAATTATGGATAAATATGCTGCAGGTAGCAAGCCAGACTAAGAGAGCAGATATATAACTAACTGTGATATGGAAACAATAAGCTATCAATATTTAGGGAGTCATTTTATGCAATCTGTCAAGATACATGCAATTTTTGAAGTCAAGCATAATACTTTATCCACTTGAATATTGATTTAAGGGAAGAAACTGCGAAAATTCAAATCATTGCTGATGTAATAAACTTAAACATGAATTTTACATATGCAAATAGTTTCTACAATCATGTAATTTTCAATGTCAATACAAAAATATAGCAAGAGGCAACATTTATGGAAAGTCAGGATAGGCTAATTATCTTACTAATGATTTCATTCATTCTACCACAATTTCTTTCACAACACCATGACAGACGTTAACAAGTACTGGTCTCATTTGATGGAAGAGGAGTTTAGTTTTCCTGCCCAGGTCAGACAGGTGGAAAGTAGCTAAACAGACTGAAGCTGAGGTTTTAAGCTCCAACACCAAATCCTGTAGTCTCATCTGGACCAATGATGAGTCGTTACTAGACTTAAAAATTTTCAGAGATTCAAAACTTAAGAAAATGTTGAAGATGTTGTATAGTAGTTGAATGCCTTTAGGAAGCAGAGTATGATGATTTGTTTTCCCAGTGACTTAATATAAAATGTGCATTTCCTAGTCATTTTCTTATAAAAATGTTTAGCCTTTCAGACATCCAATTTTGATGGCTGATAAATAAGTCTTTTACTTTCCAGGAGATGTCCATTTCTGATTTATACAAATAAATCTGTGAAAAAGAAAAGGCACTCAAACCCGCTGGGAGAAGTACAGGGACAACATAAAGAAGAAGGAAGTGAGCTCATCGTATTCCTCATTTAATGCATAGATGCCAAATTTAGGTGTCACTCCTAGTTGCAAAGTGCCACAATGAAAACATTTTATAAATACTTCTCACTTGTCTTAACTCTCATACCTTCCAGACGTATTCTTCAGGATGGCAAGAGCATCAGGGTAGCCATCCATGTTGTAGTCTCCAATATGAAGGGTGATTGGGATTGGGATTTCAGCAGGTCGCTGCTCGTGCACAAATGGTACAAAGCCCCAGAGTGTTCCCTTATTGCTGAAATCCTGAAGCACTGGAACCCACTGTGGATTTAGAGGAAAAAGATTATATCGTAGGAGAAAATTAACCACTTGCAAAACAAATGATCCATTAGAACTTCTCAAGCTAAGCATCATTTTACTTAACCTCTTTGTCTATACAATATATTAAGGTATAATAATTTACTTTGATGACAGATGACTAACCTGCTTCTTTAAAACATTTCATTTTTCTTTCAACTGGCCCAAACTATTTGTCTTGGAAGGCTTGTCACAGAATCATAGAATTTAAGTATTTAACTGATATTAATTGTCAGATACCTGAATTGCCCTTTTAAAAACTTATGTTGAGTGGAAATAGAGCCTCAAAGGAATATTTCAAAAACTAGAGCAAACTGGAATATCCTCTAATACGGAGGTTGTCTCCCTTGTTCTGCTATGCACGAGGAGTACCACAGCCAGCAGCATCCGCAGACACAAGCAGCCCTGAGGCTTTGCAAACACACCAGGACTGCCAAGCTCTGCCTGCTCTGGAGCATGAGCTTTGTTACCAGCAGCAGCTAGAAGCCACCTCTTTACTCCATTCATTCTTTCTATGTGAGCATAATGAAGAGAACTGAGAGAATGGGCTGATTTCAAAATGAACTTTCAGAAATTCCCTTCTCTTCTGAATGACCAAACCTTTATCTCTGAATGACCTGACAGTCAGAAGAGTGGAAAGCATGCCAGAACAGTGCGGTGGGCCCGTGATACAAAACAGTGCGGTGGGCCTGGCACATGTACCCGGCAGAAGCGCCTGCATCCTATTGGAGACAGCAGGAAGTCAACTGTCAGATTTATCTTTCTTATAAGCAGGTGAGTAATTCATACAGCTCTATGCCAAACTACATAAAAAAATGGCTTCTTAAAAAATAGTTTAATATACAAAATATCCCCAACATTTTATGTTATCCAAAGAGGGTATAGTTTGCTAAGGGAAAAAATAACTTAATAATAAAGACATATTTACAGGAAAAGGAGTAGTTCTAAAAAACTGACCTATATCTTTGATCAATTTTTCAATCTTATAATAGTAAATTATTATGTATTATTAAAATGTTTGCATATTTCATTTAACTTTGAAAAAAACTGTTGGTTTTGTTTTGGAAGAAGATGGAAAGTTTAACAAAATGCCAAGTTATTACAGATTTCTGAAGAGGTTGACAGTTTATTAATGAGAATAAAGTATTTGGTTAAGGTAAATGTAATAAGGTCTAAAAAGTAAAAAGATTTTTCATCTAATGTGACATCTTTAAGTCACCAAAGAACTGTGACATTTATCTTACCAGAGAGAAACAACCTTATAATTTGAAAATATTCTCACAGTACTGTCACTTGAAGGCAGGCTATAATTATTAGGTTTACTTATCCTTAATCACCAATGATGAGGTGTTACTTGACCTAATGTTTTCAGTAACTCAAAATAGTCTCTTCTGCTTTCATACACAATTATAGTCATTTGTACAGAATGCAGACTATAATGAAGATTTGTTTCCGTAGTGTCTTCATACAAAATGTGATGTTTCCTACCTATAAAAGACTATAGAAGTTTACAATATTACTTATTACCCCAAAATAGAAATTAAAACTAATTTTTTATTATTTTTTCTCTAGGTATAGAGAAAGCCATTATAAAAACACTACATTACTGGTTTCCTTTCAGGTGCTATAAACATAGGAAAATTCTCAATGTCATAAACTTTAATTTCCATATTAATCCTCCCCTGTGATAATTAAATTCTAAGTTGTTTATTCATAAGCAACAGGCAAAAGCTCAATATAAGAAAATGAAACAGATCTAGATAACACATGAAAACAGGTAGTTCTATATTAAATCTTCTTTATAGTTATAATATACTTTACTCAGCATGTAAAATGCAAACAGGTCACTTAAACTGGATCAAGTGTGAGTTTTCTTTACACAAAAATGATTATAATAGTACTTGCACCTGAAACAAACCAGTAAAAATTAGAGTTAAATACATTCCATTAAATTAAAATGAAGTTAATTTATTTTTGGTTTCTCTCTGTTCTGATTTTTTGGATAACTTTTGTAACCTCTGGACATATTTTTCAAGCACATAATTATATGAAAACCAGTTTATATACCTGTTCTGTTCCAGATTTAACTAAATAGATGACGCTTTTTTGGCAGTTTTTATCTTCACAGCCTGGCAGTAAGTGATCCATGTGTCCATCTCCATCTGCCAAAAGACAAATCAAGAGTACATCAACAGCCACAAATTTATGTGTTCGTGTTTCACAGGTTAATTTCCTATTGGTCAAAGTCCTTATCAATCTGGATAAAGCTGAATAATTTGATACTTTTGATTCACTATAAAAAATTTAGGGGCCCTCCATGGTGGCACAACGGGTTAGGACGCAGCACTGCAAGTTGGCTGCAGCCACTTCAGTGCAAGTTCCATCCTTGGCCCTAGAGGTGACTCAGATGGCCTGGCAGATTTCTCCTGACCCGCCTGCTGCACCCCTCAGCAGTGTACTTCGTTGATCTGCCTGTTCTGCTCCCCACTCTGTCTCTGGTGAAGCCTCTCACTGCCCTTGCACCTCTGGCCTGTACCCATGAATAAATAAATAAATCTTTTATATATAAAAAAAAATTTAGTCTGGCCCCTGCAAACTATTATGTGGCACGTTATCTTGTTTTAAACTGCACATACTTCTGTGTTTAAATATTTATCCAGTGTTGGAAAAAGATCCCATTCCAGGCTATAATATTAAAATCATCAGTCTTAAGCAATACAGCTTTTGACCCATTTACATAATTATTATTGTTGCCACAGGAGAAAAGTAAGCAAGTTAGTGGCAAGTCGTTATTATAAAGCTTATTTTAAATGTGTCCTTACATATAATTTATCTTTTCATACATGTATATATTGTAAAATGATCACCACATTCCAGTTTACAACCATACAAAGTTAAAATTCTTTTTCTTGGGATAAGAACTTTCAAGACCTTCTCTTTCAATGACATTTAAATGTACTATATATTAATATTAACTATAGTCACCATGCTGTACTTTATCTCCCTTATTTATTTTATAATTGAAAGTTTGTACCTTTTTGACTAAATCTGCCCATTTTGCTCACCATGCAACCTCTGATTTTGAATTGAATTATTTATTTTTGGTCTCTCTCTGTTCTGACTCTTTGGATAAATTTTCAAACCTCTGAAAATATTTTTCAAGCATGTGGTAATTATTTATATTAAAATCAGCTTATATACCTGTTCTGTTCCAGATTTAACTAAATAGATGATGCTTTTTTGGCAGAACGAATATGTTCTCTACATCTATAAATTATTTATATTTACAGTTGGTTTACAACACTGTATAATTACGAGGTATGCGATTACACCACCAAGGCTCCCGGTGTCCTGGATCGTAGTTGATTAGGGCTCCATGCTCTGCCCTTTGCCTTTTCCTCCCACTTCTCCCCTCAGTGCTTCAGTTTGATTTCTAGGCTTTATTTTTAGTTTCGTTTTGTTTCTCTGTATACCACATATAAATGAAAGTATGTGGTATTTGACTTTCTCATTCTGACTTACTTCATTTAACAAAATCCTCTCCAGTTCCATCAATCATGAATGTTGTCTAAAACAGCATTTTTTTAGATAACTATTTAATACTTTAAGAAACATTTATACTGTTTACCATACAAGCTGGACCAGTCTACATACCCAACAACAGTGTACAAGGGTTCTTTTTTATTCGTCTTTGCCAAAACTTGTTATTTCTGGTCCTCTTGATATGGGCCATTCTCACAGCCATGAGATGGGATTTAGCTGTGGTTGTATTTTCATTTCTTGATAATAATCATTCTTTTTTTGAGCATGTGTCTGTTGGCCATCTGTTATGTCTTCTTTGATTAAGTGTCTATTTTTTTTTTTTTTAAAGATTTATTTATTTGTGCATATAGAACTGGGGTACAGGCCAGAGGCTCAGGGGTGGTGAGAGGCTTCACCAGAGACAGAGTGGGGAGCAGAACAGGCAGATCGATGAAGTACACTGCTGAGGGGAGCAGCGGGCGGGTCAGGAGAGGTCTGCCACACCATGTGGTCACCTCTGGGGCAGGCGGGAATCGAACTCATGCAGAAGCGGCTTTAGATTCTCAGTGCTGTGCTTTAACCCGCTGCGCCACCAGGGAGGGCCAGTGTCTATTTTGTTTTAATGCCCGCTTTTGAGTGGGGTTTTTGATGCTGCTCTTTTTGAGTTTTATGAGTTCTTTATACATCTGGCATACTAGCCCCTTGTCATATGCATAATGTGCAAATCTTTTCAATCATGTAGTAAGGAGTCTTTTCATTTTAATGGAAGTCTCTTTTACCCTAAAGATGAGTTATGGTTTGGTGGAGTTCCATTTGATTATTTTTGTTTTTGTTTCCTTGGCTGCTACAGTTCAGTCTCCAAAGACATTCCTGATGCTAATAACATAGAATGTTTTGCTTTTGTTTTCTTCTACATCCTTTAAGGCTTCAGGTCTTAGATCCAAGACTTTAATACATTTTAAATTACTTTTTGCATACGGTGTGAGGCAGTGGTCTTATTTTTTGTATGTTGTTGTCCACTTTTGCCAACATTATTCTTTTTACTTTTTTTTT